TAATAATAGGAACTCATAAATATTCTTTATTCGTCAGACACTCATTTTCTATTTACAATACACATTCACGCACACAATCTGATAAAAAATACATCCACTTCCTACATTTTGCTTGGCAAAAATAAGTGAACTATACTTAATGTCAAGTATACTTGTCTTAATTTTCTCTAATAAGTCTTTCATTTTTGTGCCACACCTATGCTCTGTATAGAACCATACTCCTGCTAAGAAACCGGGTCATACTGGTTTGATCCTTGTCGCCAACTTTTGTCCGGTGAATTCAGGGGGGAGACGATTATTTCGTCAACGATGCCAGCATCCTGACCTCTTGACCGACGAACTTTGTAAGGGGCCTGGGTTCCACTGTTCTCAATTCCATTCACAATTGGTGGCAAAGGATTGGGAACTGGTTTATAAACAAGTTTTGGTTCAGGTTTTGAAGCGGTTTTTAGAAACTCTGTGTAATCATCTGTAATGTTCCTAGACTGATTCATCAGTGGTTCCCCTAATGATCTTGATCCTTTCGGTGTCGGCGGCTTTCTAGCAGACCGTGTTGGAAAGCTCTCGTTACTTTTTGTCGTCTTAACATTAAGCAGCATTTTCTGTGTCGTTGGATTTAAGGCGCCTATTGATTCAATGTCTACGCTTCCGTTTGATGCAACAACTTTACGGATAAATCTCCTCCGACTATTAGCTGGTGCCCTTTCACCTGGGGGAGCTGGTGAAATTATTGGCCTATCCATGAAATTTGGGTTTATACTTAAAAGTCTATCATTTAGTTCAGCATAAGCAACTTTCGAGTCATGCAACTGTTTTGTCAGATAAGCAATGTTACCAGCTTTTGCATCCAGTTCTGAAGTCAGAGTCGCAATTTGCTTGTCTTTAGTTCTCGTGGATTCTTCAAAACTCTCTTGCGCTTGTCTTGAACTTTTTTCTAGTAACACAACGTGCCTTGACTTGCTGTCTAATAGTTTTGTTAGTTCTGTGACCTCCTGTGACCTTTTCTCGACCTCCTTTTCAGCTTTAAGACTTCTGTCTCTGAAACTTTCTACAATGAGATAAAGTGATAGGAAAATAGATGTTTGATAATATGTAATTTAGGAGTCTTACAAAGGTTCGTTGACTGTGATCTGCAAGGACATTTAGCAATGGTTATTGTCAATTTCTGGTCACTTTTCAAAGCATAGGCAGAATGGGGGGGGGGGGCTAGGGGCTACAGCCCCCAGAATAAAAGTAGGGGGTAAGATCCCCCCAAAAAGTTAGTAATTAAAAATGTGCAAATTTAGAGAAAAATATGATGAAAGAATTAAAGAAAACCAGTAGGTGTATTAAAATTAATATGTTGGGTAATGTGGACAATGGGTCTGGACAAAATTTTTATGGAAATTTTTATGAAAGCATTATCAGAATATCTTGGTTTCTGAGTGAATGCCGATCTTCTCATGATGAATGCAGAAGTGAATATATTATTCAAACATGTCAACTTCACAGATGGAAACTAGTGCTAACATCCTTATCTATTGACATGATTTGCTTAAACAATGCCGAGAGTCAAAATGAAATCAAAAGAAATGTCTAACAAGGTTTGAAAGTATATCCACAGTAACTTCGGAGAGCAAAATAATTATTGAAGTAGGGGGTATTAATAGGACACATTGGTTAAACATTAATTGGTTAAATTACATAAATTTTAATACACAGATGTACCAATATAAGTAATACATTTTAAAATTGTCTTGTTTATATTAATATGTGCTAAAAATATGACAAATACCCGACTGATAAGTTTAAAGATAAGTAAAAGCAGAATATATTAACTTATTAAAATTTCATGTAACTTTAAAAGTAATTTACGCACCTTCGTCAGGACTTAGAACAGTAGAATTCATTGCCATTTGAAACGTGAGTTCTGTGTGAGAAAACAGACACAATATATCACAAACAGACTCGAATATAAAACCTGAATATAAAAACGATCACGTACCTCCGCATTTTTTCTGTAATTTGCTAATCTCCGAGTACAAGCCTTCCAAAGTTTTTGCATGTTGCTGTTGGAGAAACAACACTGAACTTTCGGCATTTTGAAGTTGAAGTTTTCGATTAGACATTATTTAAATCCACGCCAAGAAAGCCCAATTTCTAGTGATGTATATAACAAAGAATCGGAGCGAAATCTTACAAAAGATCTAAATAATCTCGTAAAAAATCCATGAGAAAATTGAAAAATACTGCGTTGCTACCGAAACTCGAATCAAAATACAAACCCGCGAGGGATTATGGGGAATACTTAATGAGCCATGGAAAAGTCATATTGTCAGCTGCTGATTGGTCGATTGTTTGCAATTCATGCGCTAATGAATCGTTATATAAATACATTTTTATATTCTATATTTCTATTCATTTATACTGTTGCTCCTTCATCGTCGCCAATGATTTTCGCCCAACAGCTATACACGCAAAAATCCCACATCTTGTAGCAAGTCTGCCAACAAGTTGTGTTCGCACTGCTTGTCCTAAGTTGTCAACAAGTTTGGAACAAGCTGTTAACAACTTGTAACAACCTTGTTGATATTATCAGACTTTTTTCAAGGTTGTTCCAACAAGTCCAATACAGTCATAATATAGCAATATTGTTCCAACCCTGTGTCGTCAAACTTGTAACATTCTTGTTATATCATGATTGTATGTATCAGACTTGTCAGAACAACCTTGTAACAAGTCTGATAATGCCATCAAGCTTGTTACAAGTTGTTAACAGCTTGTTCCAAACTTGTTACAACAACTGGGAACAAGGACAACAAGCAGATTTGTAACAACTTGTTTGCAGACTTGTAAACAACTTGTGCGTTTTTACGTGTGCAACCAATACCAAGATTTTAGGAAAGTTATCCGTGACTCGAACAAATATATATAGGGTAAATTGGAAATTGCTATTGGTGGATCATTGGAGAATCATCAATTCTCATGCAACTCTTGCTCTCGTTTGACCGAGAATTAAGAAAACTCTCATGCAAACTCTCTTTCTCTTTTGCTATTTAAATTTTACCTGGTGAAGTTGAATAGGTATTAAAAATGTACATATAAATAAATAAGTTGCTAAGATACGAGAACATACGACTGCGTAATAGTCGGTCTGGTGGGGCGAGTAGAGACTTCCGGTATGATTGTATAAATTATTTTTATTAAATGTCAATAACAAAGCTATCAATTTACAGGCAACAAGAAGTCGACAACGGTCAACGGAGAATTCTTGATGTATCTTGCTTAGTGAAGAATTCAAGCTTACTTCTCAGACTACGTAGACACAAGAATGAGTACTTCTAGTTCGATAATCGTGTGGGAATGGGAAGCACAGTCTCGCATATGGGTTCCTTATACACCGCGAGTTTCTCAGCATATCGAAAGCGAATTTCGCCGTTCTATGGGTTCTGGAAAAGTCGATCTTGGCGGTCAAAATATGATTGAATTAACCGGCTGTGAAATAGATTTTTCTCGTATGAAACAAGTGAACGTTCTTACAAGTAGGCTCGGTGTATTTTTTCTTTTGTATGTTAAATAATATAGGTAATCGATATAAGTTATGCGAAGAATTTTTATAATTCTTTCAAACTCTCGTTTCTTGGAATTTGCTATTTTATATTCATAAACGGGCTAGACAGCGTTGAGTACAAACATCGTTAATACAAACTGTCAAATGAAGGGTCATCGCTCGAAACGTCGAAATTCTTCTTGTATTTTTTAGATAATTATTTTATCACTTTATTTTTGCTTTTATTGCAAGTTACTTGCTGTAACATAAATCAAGTTGTGCTCAGTTGTACAAAATAAAGCATTTTCCATGACCATTACATTGTAATTTAATCCAAATGATACATTACTGTGATAGAAATATTCATTAGTGGTTGCCTTGAATAAATTTGCCTTGATAACTCGGCAAAATTCACTTACACCCCCCGTTCAAAGAGGTCTGGTGCCACCCCTGCATTTACATAATTCTAATGCTTAGTTTTCTTTGTTCTAATCTATCATCTCTATACCTGGGACAAGTGGTTTGAGATTTTATCAATGAAAACTAAAAAGACAGCAAAACATTCCAACAACCAAGTTGAGCCAACCCTGACTGGATAGCACCACTGTTATGATAGCACCAAACAAATATAGACCGAATATTTTCCAATTTATAGAGGAATCTGTGAAAGTCCGGCAGCAAAAGTACCCATCCGACTGCCCTTTTGCAAAAGGCATCTGTTGGAAATGGTTTGCAGATTTTCAATGGCAATTCTATGACGTCCTAACCTCAAATTATATTGAAGATGCATTCCAACAAAAATCAAAGCGTGTTCATCTTCGACGCTCACCCATACGTATTCCAAATGTAATTTACTTTAGTAACATGGAGCAGGTGAACAAAAAGACAAAATTTTCTCGAAAGATTGAACGTGAGGAAACGAAAGAGCAGTACCCTCAAGCGAACCACGAAACAGCAAATATGACAGGGCAACACAGTTTTACACAGGGTTATAACCCAATGTTGTCAAGTGTTAGTAGCAGAGTGATAACACATACCTCAGCCGTACAACCTGTTGTACAGAGTTATAATCCTGTAATGTCAAATGGCAGTAACACATCAACATATACCAACGGTAATTTAGGAAGTCTTAACTCTGCATTCAGTGCAGTAAGACCACATAGTAGTAATACCAACATACAAACTGTTACACAGAGTTATAATCCTGTAATGCCAAATAACAATATAACACAAATTAACGGTAACTTAGGTAGTCTTAACTCACCTTTCAGACCAGTAATACCACATAGTAATAATACCAACATACAACCTTTTACATCAAATTATAATCCTCTAATGCCAAATGGCAGTACTAATACAACACATACTAACAGTACTTTAGGTAACCTTAGCCCACCTTTCATGTCAGTAAACCCTGGTTTTGGAATAGTACCCCATAATACTAATAGACTAACACATTTTGGTGTCAACCCATCTTCTAACCATATGGGTACCAGTACAATGACAAATATCAACAACCAGACTGGTTTAACCATGCACAACACATCACCACTGTACCATACCCGAGGTCAACTACCTGTTGGTCACACACCACCGAGATTACAGAATGGCGGCATGAATTCAAACTATGGTGCTAGTCTTATAGGGGGAGCTTCATCTCACACAAACAGCGGCGCTCCTGTGGCTTCTAGTGGTCGGAGAAAACAAGCCCGTAGAGCAAATGCCTTGAGTCCCACATCAAAATCTGCACGTAAGAATCTAAAATATTCATTATATGTACAGTATATTCTCTATACTGTATACAAGTATTTACGCGTTGTTATACAAATACAGTCATATATTATCAATAATTCATGAGCAAAACGCAAAGGAGAAAAGCACGGCATCGTTGTCTTGGGCCACGTTTACACTGTAGCTTTCCGACGTGAAAACCTTCTATCCGTACCTTTTAGGAACGCTATTTTCAGAGGAATTATTGCGAGTATGGTTCGAGTATGTGATATTTCAGAACCGAGTCTAGTTCCTTCGATATCAGTGTAATCTAGTAATCATGATTACTAGGATTACTAGACTACATTGATATCGAAGGAACTAGAAATATCATATACTCGAAATATCATATACTCGAACAGACCTGACCGCGTAATTCAGTTGGCAGAGCATTGGGCTGGTATTCCGAAGGTCATAGGTTCGATTCCCACCGTGGCCAGGCATATTTTTCAAGCTGGTCCGGTGTGGATATACACTCAGAGTAACATCACAAGCAACGACCTTTAGAGTGTTTAAGATCTCGAAACCGCTTATTAGAGACTAGAGTAGTTTTAAAGTTTATATCACAAGTACATAGTGGTGAAAAACTCGGCTACAAATAAAAAGCTACATTTCTTTTGTTAGGGTCAATCAGTGGTCCACTCGACAACTTCGCCAGACCTGTCCTGGGTGGCACGCAATCGGATGACGTAAGTGGCACACTGGTTGCGCGGGGCCCGGGGCAAACTTTTACAGGGGCACATATGACGTCATAATTGTAAAACACGAGAAGCGGTGTTGTACAAATTACAATATATTGCACTTTTTCGCATATTACCCGGAACACTGACGCAGCTATGAAGAAAATATACGGGACTTCAAGAGTCATCAAGTTTTTTCTCGTATATTCTCACAAATGACTTTCCATATTGTCTATCCAGATATGGCGGCCTGGAAACTAAACAGGGGCGGGTTGTACGAAGGTCGGATAGCGCTATCCATCGGATAGTGATTTTTTCAACTGTTGTAAAATGCTTGAAAAAGTGTGAAACTGCGGATATAGACGACACAAGAAGTATAAAAAAACATTTAACTTATAAACAACGACTGATTTAACAAAGCTTGAAAAAATCACTATCCGGTCGATAGCGCTGTCCGGCCTTCGTACAACCGGCCCCTGGGAGTCATTGTGTTATTTTTTTAATTGCTTAACAGTCGTATAAAGAGATCGATGGTAAGGATAAAACAGAACATTAGTCACTTATTAAGTCCCACCAAAACATTACAAGACAAAGATCACGTTATAATTGTTTTTGTTTGTGGAAACACCACGTAAATTTATTACCGCAAAGCTTTCGATCCGTAAGCCCGGATCTTCATCAGTGCTAATAATATGTCATATTATGTCATATATGACATATTATTAGCACTGATGAAGATCCGGGCTTACGGATCGAAAGCTTTGCAGTAATAAATTTACGTGGTGTTTCCACAAACAAAAACAATTATATTTTATCGCCATGCAAACATTCAAAGAACTTAAAGATCACGTTGTACATACAAAACGAAATTGAACAATTAATTAATTTGCTTGCTCGAGGAGTAAATTCAAATTAAGACGTTTTAATTTTTGTCTGCGTTTATGTAAATTTGTGCACGGTCACTTCTTGAAGACTGGAAACTAAGGTCTAATTTGAGTTGGCCACAGATCGGACCATATAGTGGGTTAATTCCAATATACATTTGTTGTATTTTACAGGAATGCGCGATATGTTTAGAAAGCCTGAACACCCCGTCAGATTACGATAACAATCCCACAGCAGATGTACAATGTGTGAGCGCTGATATACTTCAGCTGCTCAAGTGTAAACACATGTTTCACAGGATTTGTTTGCAAAGATTGTTAGAAAGTGGCACATCGCAGGTAGGTTTTAATATTTTTCACAAGAACGTGAAAATTAATTTAACCCCCACCTCTAATAACCCCTCCTCTCTTTTCTAATAAGCCCCGCCCCCACTGCCCATAAGTCCAGAATCACTGAGATAAAAATAAGCCATCAAGGGGCTAAATAGAGGAAATACGGTGTTCATGTTCCTCCCTATATATACAGGAATACGAGTTTGTAGATATTCCTAATGCACAGTTCCTTCAGCCCCGGACTGAGTAATTCCTATATGGACATTAACTTTGTGTATTTTATATGTTTGTGAGTACGTATCTGTGCGAGTTGTTTGGGATGTTTGCAGCTGTATGTGTATATTGTTTTAGAGTAATTTTAAGTAAGTTATGTGTTAATATTTTGCTGAAAGGCTCGCAAGGGGATATGAAATAAATATGTATGTATGTATATGTATGTTATTTACATGTTATGTATGTTATAACATTTTTTAAAATACAGTACAAACAGTCCCTCCTATCCTGCCTGATATAGTCTTAACCTACTTGTCAAATTATGAATTAGAAGCTAAATATTGATATGTTTACTTTGCGATAACGATCTTCTACTTTCTATTATATTCCATATAAAATTATTAACATGCAGTAGCCAACTCGAAAGCTCACGCTATTTTGGTTACTGCGCACATCCAATCTAAGTTTATAATAACATCATTATGTAATAATCCTTAAGACAAGTTAAGTTCTATAATCTCAACAGATAACTTGTAAATACTAATATCATGTGCATAATAAATCATTCTTCTTCTTCTTCATGTTAAGCCATGAAGCTTTACACTTTTCCGTTTACGAGTAAAATTGTCTGGCGTTAAGGCCGTTTCCCACTTCAGTCGTAAGGTATCGTATAGCATTTTCTTTTTCTCTTGTGTCAAAATCGTTAGTTCTACTCTAGTGCTCAGGAAACGAAGAAATACGCCTCACTTCGGTTGAAGTAGAAAACGGCCTTTATTCACGAGTAAAATAACGACGTTTTAGAGCACATTGGAGCACATTACGGCACACCGAATTGACTATAGACACGAACAGATAGCTTGGTTAAATAGAGCAATTGCTATTTGTATTTGATTCAATAGAATGGTTGTCTACAATGTCCGACGTGTAAAACAATTCATGGTGTAATGAAAGGAAATCAACCCGAGGGCGGCACGATGAGAGTAACAAACAACCGCGATGATATACCGGGCTACCCTGGTTGTGGATCCATCGTTATTGTATACAATTTCACATCTGGTACTCAGGTATGGTACAGAATACAGATTACGTAATGCCTGTAGATTTTATTCAAACTGAAATTTAATTTCTGTTGTCTATCGCGTTCTGTATGTTTTATAATCATCAGAATTGTATAAAATATTCCTCCCAAAAGAGAGATGCCACGATTTCAGTGACTCTGGATTTGAAATCCAAACCCTTTCTGGTGTACCTGTAGTGATATTATACATATAACATCCTTTGTCTTCTGTTGTGAACAGGGACCACTTCATCCTAATCCTGGACAGCCGTACCATGCCAATGCCTTTCCTCGCACTTGTTATCTGCCAAATAATTCTAAAGGAAGGAAGGCAAGTATTAGAAAAACAAGCTTTCGTTGGTAGAGATGCAACTACCCGAAAAATATAAGGAGAATTTCTAAAGTTAGAACAATTTAAAACTGGTTGAGCTACAGTATTCAGCATTATAGTTTAGCTTGGTTACGTCACTGATAGAGGATGAAATCAGTAGCGTCTCTGATTAAAAAATTATACTTCCTAGGTGTTGAACTTGCTGAAGATAGCGTTTGATAGACAGCTTGTGTTCACGGTTGGTAGATCTGTCACAACTGGACGAGACAACAGCATTGTATGGAATGATATTCACCACAAAACCGAGGGTTATGGAAACGGTTCAGGCTATGGTTTTCCAGACCCAAATTATTTGGATAACGTACTGGCAGAACTGGCTTCGCATGGTGTCACAGACGATACACAAGATAATTAAAGCCCGGACCGAATGAAGATGAGAGTTGGCAGGCACGCCACCTTGCCTGGTTAGCTGTTCTTAATGCTTTCCCAACACTATCATGTACTCTATTTGAGATCAAATACAGGGTGTATCAAAAAACCTGCAAACACTATAATTTGCATAATTCTGCTGCTTGCTAGCATTTCAATATCTGTGCTACTTATTTTGCTCCTGGGATGTGAAAATACATTCTAATTAACCGCGTTTATAGAAATTAGAATAACACAACGTTGTTTGTAATGCAGAAAACTAATCATCAGTTCGACTGCGAATGGGTCAACTATTGTGTTTACGCACGCTTGGGATCAATTAGTTCCGTGAATCTTGCAAATTCTAAAAAAATGTATATCAAAGCGTTTGCAGGTTCTCTGATGCACCCTGTATAGTTGGAACACTTATCAAACCTTTATTTTGTTAATCTAGAGCTTGAAATGTCGCCTGTAACAAACAATGCGTTTCTGTCAACTCTTATCCTTTGTTTGAAACTGAGGCAAACTAATTTGCAATTCATCTAATGACATAATACCCGCAAACTTTGACAGTGAAAAAGTTGATCAAGACGAGCTTTTTTACCATAAAGATATATTACATTTCTTCTTAGAATGACCCAAGAATTACACATGCGAAAAATTATTTCAAGGATTAGTCGCACTTTTAAGGAGAATGAGCATCTAAGTGGCTGTTTATATGAAGGCGAATGGGTCCGTTGATATATGCGGGATGTCGGTTGAACGGGCCAGTCCATGTAAACTCGAGATCAAATTTACCAAGACTGCCTCATTCTATATAAACAGCCCCCTCCTTAAACTCTCACATACGTTTGATCTGCTAACTCTCGATATGCTCTCACGAACTTTAGACAACTCAAATTGTGATGAGAGAACGAGTCTTGGCCATAGATATCTATGGTCTTGGCTCGTTTATAAACCATCATACATGTTCACACACAATAATTTGCATGTAATGTACACAATAGTGGATCGATAGTATATGACAATGAAAGAGAGACTTGGAGCAAGTCTATAATTTGAAAGGCCTTGCATTTCCAGGATACTGAAACAGGGTGTTGGGCAGAAATTTAAGGTAGTAGCTGTTCGTACTGAATTAGCATTTCTCACGCCGCCATTTTTGGGGTACTGTCTTTTCCAAATCTGAGATTGTACGCAGTGAATGAGGGATTTGTATAAATATAATTGTGAGTATAATCATTATAAGTTAATTTACAGTTAAATATTTGAAAAAATGTTTTCACATCGATTACATTTTTTTCACGACGTGTTCAAAAACGTACCCCAAAAATGGCGAATTTGGCCTTCGTGAGAAAGGCTAATTGGGAAACATGGAAATTGTTAAGCGTAGCAGAACGCTTCTCCAAAGGTCGCGATGAGACTGCAGAATTTCTCAAAAGTGGCCTGAATTCTACATTCTATGTAAATAGTTTAACAAAGAAAGCAGCATGTAACAACAGTATACAAGAAAATCCATAATCATTACGATAGAAAAACTTTGTTTAGCAATTTAAAAAATATTTAGAGAGTGTAGGCTTTGCTTTACACAGTAATGTGCTCAATGTAACTAGAATATTAAAATGACACTATCAGTCAGAATGGAACTTTGAATACATATATGTATACTTTTATAGAGACATTATTTTGTAATATAATATGTGTAGTATAAATTAAATTAATCAGAATAAATAGCTCAATGTATTGTAATTTCTACAGTCTATATATTGGGTTTCTGATTTTGTAACTTATTACTGTCGATGTGGAACCATTTCAAAGCTTCACAATGAAGTCACACTTTTTAAAATCATATTACATCATCTCTAACCAGAGAATAAGCCTTTACCATACATAAACAATTTTTGGTATTCGACCAGGTTATACTTTAGTTCTTGGGAAAATTAAAATTTGAAAATATCATTGTTACAAGACACTTGCTGAAAGGGATGACAATTTGGAAGTCGGGGTTTTCTTTTTAGAGGGCACACTTTAGGGAGGGGAGGAGTTTAAATCAACGCAGCCTTGCTGGACCTTGTAGAACAACCAATACCAGATACCGAATGAGATTATTTCACTATCCAGCCATATATCTGGCAAGTATGAGAGTTTTGAATCATAACTCATCACCAGGTTTTAAACAGGAAGTAATCAATCTTGGCAACATTTATTTTGCGAAGTCTCCACCACTGTTGAGGATTGATCAATGAAATCAAACAGACATGCTTCTTGTCATTTATCCTTCAAAATTAGGTCAAGTTCTATTCCCACAATGCCAAACACCTCTTTTTTTCTCTGTTTACTGTTGTGGTGAAAAAAGCTTTTTAATCATTTCTCGTTCCCTTAACAGCAAGGATGGATGCCATAGGTCAATCATTAATACAACCCTAGGTTCATTTATGTTGCCATAGCAATACACTTCATGATAAAAAGAGTCATCAAAAACCAAGGTTTTCTCTTCTTGCCAAGTTTGCTGTTCACCAGCCACGGAAATATAGTATCCCTTAGAGGCTTGCAATGGCACATGACAACGGATACGAACGTTTGTGGGTCCACAGTGACGAGCGATGCTTGTGCCTGGTAATAGCACAGAAAAAACAACATTCCCAAAAGCACAATCCAACATGGCTGATGTTAATCCTTCAATCGTTTCAACTATCCTTGGGCATTTTAAGCAATTTTGTTCATTTTTCACACCTTGGTTAACCAAATAAAACAAATACCATCCACCCAAAGGCACTTTGTTTGCCACCCAACCAATGTTTAAATCCTGGTAGACATTCATAAACTCTCTTTTAAAAACATCCAAGGTGCTTCGGTTTTCTAAAATCGAGACTTCGTTTGCATACATGTGACTATTATACCATATTTGACTGGGCAATCCAGCCAAATAAAACAATGTAGGCTCTTGCTGGCTTGTCTCATACATTTCCAACCTTTTTGAAGTATTTACAATTCCATTTGTTATTCTATTCTTTGTGTTCTGGTCCGTTTTAAATTGCTGTTCAATTACACTCCACTTTGTTAAAAGTTTCTCAACAGAATAAACGCTTTTTGAACATCTAATGCAAGAGAGCGATGTACAAATTTCCGCCTTCTCTTCTCGTTCAGTTTCTGCCTTTGTACTTTCATCGGTTTCCCTTCCAAAATTCGGTGAACGAGACGCATAATTTGTCGGACTTTCAATCTTATTTGACGGCATTGATGCCCGAATTTTGTTAAAAAGTAACCAAACAAAACACGCCAAAGCACAAGTCAAAAGAGCATATAAGTAACTCGAGAAGTTAGAATAATATTCGCTGTCTAAAACCATAATGTTCGCCGGAGAAAAACGGAAAAAATAAAGATTATATTAAAGATTGTACAAAAATCTACTCCTCGAGAGACGGCCATATTGGATTCTTAATTAACTGTCTCGATTGAAATGGCGGACTGTGATTGGCTGAGCGGTCATTATTTCCCTATTATTATAATCATAGATTATAATCTTAGTCCTGACCCCCACCCCAACCCCAACCCCAACCCAAATGGTGGGTTAAAAAAAATGAGTCCCCTTTCCGTTTTTGAATTAGAGAGGTTAAGATACCCCGGTTTCGGTGTACGGGTACGAGTAGTGTCATCTTGTTTTACTGATGTCTGTAATTCGATCATACTTTTTCTGTTTTCTTGCAATAGACAATGATATATGCGAGAAATGTGCACCTTAATTGCGAGTAAAGGTACAGACATCGACGAAAATATTGCTAACCAAAATCATGCTACCCGTACCCGTACACCGAAACCGGGGTATCTTAACCTCTCTATTGTTTCTGCTGCCACATGGAGAAAAAATAAGTAAAACTGACTGAAATAAATATGTTTCTAGTCTCGGTTATTGAACAATATTTCCTAAATTTCAGAAAGATTGAAATTGACTCGTAAATTGATTAATATGGGTCAGGATATTTACTAAGTGATTTTCTAAGGTTTAAAAATTATTATTATAATTTTTTTTGTTGTCAAGATTAGTGGGAGACTAATTTCGCCCCCCTTGTCTCTCCCTTTTAATAGTATACAGCTATTTCAATAAGGTTGTCCCACGAGCAAAGCGGAAAAGTCGAATACGAGCGCGAAAGGCTGCTGGGAATCTGTAACAAATTAATGAATTTTCAAAGCGGTTCCCAGCAGCCTTTCGCGCTCGTATTCGACTTTTCCGCTTTGCTCGTGGACAACCTTAATAGATCTTTCCCCTTATAACCAAAATTTTGATCTAGGCAAGTCTAGACAAATATTTCATCACAGCTTGAAAGAGCATCACAAAATTAGTAATATTCCAAAGTTTCGTTGCGAAATGTTGTAAAATGAGGAAAATAGAGCCTTGCGAAGTTTGCAATTTTCAGTCATTTTGCATTACAAACGGGAAATTGCAGCCCCAACACCCGAATCGGATGTCAATTTCCCGTTTGTAATATATACAAAATGACTGAAAAACGGCAAACTTCGCAAGGCAATATTATCCGCATTTTACAAGTTTTGCAACAAAACTTTGGAATATTACTAATTTTGTGATGCTCTTTCAAGCTGTGATGAAATTTTTGTCTAGATCGAAATTTTTGTTATAAGGGGAAAGGTCCATTGAAATAGCTGTATATAGACTCATTTTCCTCTTTCCTTCTCTCGCGCGGCTGCATGGTGAAAAAATACGTCAAAGTTTCGGTACAGTATGTATTCCAAGGTGATACCAATGGTCAATGGCAATGGCCGAAGAAAAACAAATTGCAATATTTACGTTTAACTTCGAGCAACTGTTTTTCGTCACGTAAGGCACTGGAGCAGCGTACAGCATAGAACCTGATTACAGGCCTACAGGGCCGTAGCGACCGGGGACTCAGTCCGCGTTTTCCCGGTCCAGTCCGTCTTTTACAACATGCCGCGTATTGTGAAATATACGTTTGTGCTTATATGTGTCCATGCCTGTCTAAAAATTAATAGCGATGTATTTATTGCAGTGTTGTCTTTTCAGATTACTGCCATAAAATTCACAGGCCGCTTGTGTTTACTGTTAACAAAATGCCATTAATAACACGGTTAATCCATGCTCTGTATAGGTGAACTGAGAAATGAAAAAGTCAGCAACTCAATGATTAATACTTCAAAATAGTATTGACTATTGTGCATACATTTGAGATTTTTCCCATCGGTCTAAACACTATGGACTTTACTGAATATTCGTATAAAACTCGTGTTGTCGGTGTGGTGCGCGCGGTATGTATATACTACACATAGAAGATCGTCTATACCATACTATAGTAGTAGGGGCGCTCTCGCATTTGGGGTCTTTACATGAGGGCCAATTATTTTTAGACCGTTTGGCTAATCGAATGGCGTATCAGGAAAACTCTGACCACCGGTTTACTCATAATTGCAGGCGGTTATATGTGTGATTCAAGCGATCTTTACCAGCCCACCTTTCATGACAATATATTGTCGGCAGATTTATTAGTCTAGAAATACAAAATTTCGTAAGCGGAACCAACGCAATAAATCCTTAATTGCTTACACATGTAAATACGCTCGGTAATCATAATCAATTAAGTCGTGTAATAAATTAGACAACACATATTTTATGAAACAGAATATTCTCAAAAATTATATGATGTATAGCCTGCAAAATTTTCTTTCTTTTGAAAATCTGACAGGTTGTTTTTATACGCATGTATAGCATGCAAGATTTCCTTTCTTTTGAAAATCTGACAGATTTTTATAAACCTGCCAAAACCTGTTCCAATCCGCCCCCTAGTGGCGTTGGCGTTCTAGTCGGCATTCCAGCATCGCATATATAGTTGCAAGGTCTCTGTTACATATATACCGACAAAAGTTTGTCCATGGCTGGAGCATATTGGTATAACTTTGAAAATATTTTAAGCAATGAAATTGAAAAACAAAAATTCTGTTCTTGGTTCTGGAGTGGTGCAAATGGAAACAGACTAATACAAACACTAAATTCGAATAACAGCGAATCATCCGGTTCCAAAATTCGCCGGCTAAATGGTGGGTGGCCTTACATTTACTGCGTTGTCCTCAATGATAATGCTATCCCGAGTACAGATCCATCCGGCTTAGTTCAGTGGAGGTATTGCAAGGTTGGATTAACCGAGGTGGACACAAAGCCAGGTACACATAATCGGATGGAAACGGTTCAAAACGAAATCACGAGGAAAACAGGCAGTCCAGCAGGGATTATATTTGTGCTACCAGTGAAAGATTTCGATTCCCGACCAAATAGTGTGATCGAAAAAGACGTACGAGAGCATATTGGATTGCCAGTGAACAAAGAATTGGTACGTACTATCGGTTTACCTTTTCTGACAGAGTGGGTCATCACAACACAACCTTATATTAATTATATTGGCATGCAGATCAAGAAAAACGCCATGAGTGCGGGCAGACTAATTGACACAGATTTCATTCTCGGAATACCAAGATTCGACCCAAGAGGAACTTATCTACCACCGAATCTAATGAACTACAATGGCGAAGTGGTACCTCAACCTCTGTAACCTTTACGGACACTAAGCCGTATGTAAATATTACAATAGATATTATTATTATTATTGAACGAGATATAATCTTAATTATCATATAGTTGTTGATGAATTGAACTATTTGTGCCCTTTGGGGCGGATATGACATTAATTTCGCATAGGTACGTATTGAAAACTGCAAAGTGCAAGCTCAGTGATGTTCTGTATTAAATGGGTTAGAACTGTAAAACCATGGTTAATAGAAAATAAGCATGGTTTGGAAGCTAGATAAAAGTCATTGTTATATGTTTTTGTTTGGGTTGATGCACTTTCACGGTTACTGAACGTATTGTATTGTCTGTATAATGAAGCAATCATCCAGTAGCAACGTTTGGGTCCAGTCATTCAGGCATAATTTAAATATTAATGAACCTAAGACAAACGAATTGTGCACCTTCATGTCCTTTCCAACATAAATTGTATAACCATTGTTAATCACTTTGAAGTCTGTCGGCTTTCTAAACCATGTTTGTTTTAGTATGAACTATGGTAAAACTTAATGAAGATGAAATTATCTCAGTTATCATACACTCTAAGTACTAGATAAAACATGAGCAGCCGATCTGTATCTGATATACAGAGTTTGGCGAGAGTTTGTATATCAGATACAGATCGGATGCGAATGTTTTATCGTACTTAAAAAATGATCCATCTTATGAGTTCATTGGCGAAGTAATTTTAAAAATAAACATTGTCTAAGCCGAGAAAATCAAAGCTGAAGTTTATGTAAATCAGGACAAATCTTTATCCGATTTACAAACATTGATTAAACCTTCATTTCTTTTGTATTTTCCTCGTGAATTATTAATGATTTTTTTAATAAATTTCAAAAACTGCTTTTAGGTATCGCAAGTACTTTGAAAATCAGGTAATTTTGTCCCCTACACCTGCCCCCCGCCGTGTGTACTGTACTGTACTTTACTGTACTACATAGCACTGCATTGTATTGTACAGTTATGTACTGCATTGTACACCACTGTACTACATTGTACTGCATTGTGCTGCACATTATTATGCTGTATTGTAATGTCCTGCAGCATGACCACTTGACTTGAATTTCCTGTAAACCACTGTCAGAAACACAAGTGAACAACTTCGCTTATCAGATAAAACAAATACCATCCAGGCATCCACCTTAAGGAATTTTATTAGACACCAAGCCTACGCCTGAATTGTTATAGACATTCATGCGTTCTTTTAGAAAAATATCCATTTTGCTTTGTTGGTTGACAGACGTTGCTAGCGGGTAATAAAACGCTTAACCTCAACGAGAGAAGATTCGTGCGCGCGCAAATACATTGCGCGTGTTCACACTCCTAGGCGCCAATTATGACGTCACAATAAAATAATCAGAAGGAGTGACAAAACATCCTAAACTACCTCCCAAAACTTTTAATCAAGATGCACCACCTTCACGATTCTATATTATTGGAAATTTTCTCGTTCTTAAAAATCTGCGAAAAGCTTCGCTGTTCTCGCGTTTGCCGGAGATGGAGGCGAATTTTGAACGATTGGAAATTGTGGCAAAGAATCGACTTGAAAAAGGAATCCAGGTTGTCAAATTTCATACAAGATGAAAAGGTCAAAGACTGGATACTAGCCTGGGGACGGCATATATTGGAACTGTATTTGGATGATTGTCATTGGCTAACAGATGAGGGTGTTTGTACCATCGGCGATTTTTGCTCAAACCTACGGACTTTGTCCCTCAATCGTTGTGCCAAGGTTGGCAATCCTGGGATAATATATTTATCGAAGTTCTGTCACCGACTTCGTAGCGTGGATTTTTATCAAACTCGAGTGACTGCTATAGGGTTTGTATTTGTATTTTTCTGATTCGATATTTTAACACGGCTGCCAGTCGCGCAATTTAATTTCACGCGCACCCTGAATGCGATATTTTCGAAGTGTTTATTTTTGCGCATCTTGAAACGGTATAAAACCAGAAAATCGAACTCAAATTATGGTTTTTGATGTTCATATAACATTGTATTGCTTACTTGGAGTCTAAGACTAGACATTATAGCTTAGTGAACCAAATAGCCCAAATGATTGTGTGCTTGATTTCCACAATAGCGACAATACAACTCAAGTTGTAAGCAGGTTGCACGAGACAGTTTTAGGCAAAAGTTGTGTGGTGCAAATCGACCTTTAGTAAGAATAAAATATATTAAGGCTATAATATATTTTAAAAACTAGGAAACTAAAACAACAAAAAATTTAATAGCGAATGTACGAGCATTCAACGGACATGCCCCATTTTGGGGATCAAAACTGTGTTCAAAAATAGTACCAGTGTGAAAATAAAGCCTCCTGCCTTGCTCTTTCTATTACTGATATTTACAAATTTTAAATCGACTCAAAAAGCATGACAAAGGTATATTATCGTATCCTGATCTTGTTCTACACTGTCCATTCCAGATTTAATTTCCTGGTGGAGCGCAATGTTGGTCTTCAAAAAATCCGCCTGCCAAATCAAGGAAATTGCAAACGCATGCTCGATACGATAACCAAGAATTGCCACCACGTGACCGAGCTAGCATTACAAGATGCCATCGACGAGGATCGACTGTTACTAGACGACGACACATTCCGACGATTCGCCGAACGTTTCCCGATGTTGCGTATGCTCGATTTGACATGGTGCTGTCATATTACAGACAAAAGCCTGGAGTATATAGCAAGGAATTGTTCCGAACTCAGATACCTGCATATCAGAGAATGTCCTATGATTACAGACGAGGGGATAAGGTCTATAGCAAAACGCTGTCACTTTTTAGATGATCTACATTTAGAACGACAAACTTTAGTCAACAATGACTGCTGCTATGCGATACGTGATCATTTACACTACATGACGTCTTTAGGGTTGATAGACACTTGCGTTACCGATTTGGGGATCGATGTCATTACGACGAGTGCCGAAAATCTCCGAGCGCTAAGAATCGGAGAGAACTGTTTTCGGCCCCAAAACATCAAAGGGGTTTGTTTAAACTCTATCGCACAGAAATGCAATCGGCTTGAAAAACTTCATGTATTTTCAATCAAAATGGACGATACGAACTTGGTACCCCTTTGTCAGAATCTGGCCGAGCTGCGCGAACTTCATTTGGGTGCCTGTGGACGAGTCTCTAGAACAGGCATACAAGAGCTGACAGAAAAGTGCGGGAAATTAACGGAGCTTCGCTTATACGGTTGCCCGAGTTTCAGGGACTGTCATTTGGATATTATGGCGTCGAAAATGCCGGAATTGAGACGGCTTGAGATTTTTGGCTGCAACAAAATAACGGAAGACGGAGCGAGCAAATTTGGCGAAAAACGACCAGACTGCTTTTTGAATGTTTAGGACACCAAAACTGAAGTATGTCCGAATTCGGGTCTACATTAATGATAAGTGATCTATCGCCAACTGACAAAAGCACTAATTCGTAGAGATCTTTATTAACATTTGGCTAAACTTAATAAGCGCGGTAAATAGCAGTATATGTAAATGTAGGTCAAAGGTGGAAATGCATGGAAACTGTACATCTTGCATTATACAGCATCTGATATTCCGTATAACTGTTAATTTGCCAATTACCACTTTTTGTAGTGATGTGCAACAGCTAAAATTTTGAAGGTTGAAACCACTTTAAATGAAGTCCGTTAATTTTTTTCGCAAAAAAACTAACAGTAAAATGAACATGAAATCATCTGCAACCACCTACCGTCATTCCTCGGGTTTCTGTTCCCTTAATTTCCGTTCCTCTTCTTCAACTTCTTTAAGTAAAGACGCTGCGTTTTGGTTCGTCGGCGCAGCTTGTCGGTACAGCTCCTTGGCTCGGTTCCAGTCTCTCTCGACACCAAGACCATTGTAATACATATTCCCCAAGTTGATCTACAGGAGTTAAAGTTAGAAGTTTTAGATTAATTACGGTTTGAATACCTTGGGTTTGGTAAGGTTCTGTGGTACCAGCAAAATACAAGGACGCAAATAGCGTTCCGCGTACCCACGTGGTTCGTCGCTGAAACCAAAGACAACCTAAAGTTGGAGTAATACGAGCAACAAAATTGCTGCAACTTGCAACAAAATCTGATTTCTACGCATGTTAATGGAAATGTTTACACATATATTACAAATCACGACTGAAATCACGAGGCAACATGTGTCGACATTTCTACTTAACATCCGTTGAAATCAGATTTTGTTGCAAGTTGCAGCAATTTTGTTGCTCGTGTAACTCCACCTTAAGTACGCGAATTATAGCACTCTGAGTTGATGGGAGTTGCAACTCTTGCTAGCCACTTGCATCAATTTCTCATCAACGTTGAGCTGGTTCGAATTCTGAAGAGACTTGATGAGAGTTGCAACACCTGGAAATATCTAATCAACTCTCATCGACTCTTGTTCTCCTTCGATTGGGACATGGAGGTTAAGAAAAGTCTCATGCAAACCCTCGCAGCCGTTATCAACTCTCATCTACTCTTAGTGTTCTCCTTTGATTGAGACATGGAGGTTACGAAAAGTCTCATGCAAACCCTCGCAGCCGACATCAACTCTCATCCTCGTTTAATGCCGGGCGATTCTGACATTCAAATAATACATTCCAAAGCCTGAATAACAATAACATCTTAAATCGAACTATCGAAGCTATATATATTTCAGATAATTAGCAATCACCTGGGCTAGTTCAAATCCCAAATCCGCAGCTTTTTCAAAATACTGTGCAGCTTTTTCCATGCTGATCTCAACGCCTTTACCAGCAAAATACTGCGTTCCAGTGTTGTATAGTGCGATAGGATGGCCTGGAAATGAATGATATATGGCGTTTATTTGTATCCCACAACACTAAATAAGCAGTGACGGCGGCCGCAGGGATGGATCCAGCATGATCTGGCAGGGGGGGGGGGGGGTACTCTGTCAGCTCTGGTGCCGAGTTGGGTCGGTTATGTGTGCCGCCCACGCATCCATTTGCTCGACTGCTGCAAAGTCTTGCTTGACTCCTGTATTTGAATTGTAATTGTTGTTCACAGTTCGCTTACTGTATCATCATGTTACTGTAGATCATTTTGTCCCAGTAAATTCATCCCTGAGTGACGGACCCTAAGGGTGAGGGGAAACCGCTCCCCCCACCCCAGCAATTTAAAAGATTGGGTTACGTTATCCAACTATTTAGTCTCTCTGTAAACTAAACTATATTCTTTCAACAGCTATAGCATGTACAATTGTTTATTTTTTCAAAGTTTCATAAAGGCCAGAGCGTTTAAGCGGTCACTCCAGGGGAAAACATGCCGAAAAGCAGAAATTGTTTTTATCAATATTTGCGCATCTATTTCACGCATATGCATTAATGATACCGCTGACCGTAATAGATAGCTTGCAAAAGTTTGCTAGTGGAATGCCTTTTCACTCGCAATTTACAGACTTTTGCAAGCGTTATGTTCGAGGCTTGCTCGAAATTTCCATCTAGAAAATCCTTCAACAATGAGTTATATCGAGGGTAGATGCTCAAAAATCTTGATATCTATACAAAATCATGTACCTTTCTCAGCAGCGCTGAGGTGATATTCAAATGCCTTGGTCAAATCTTGTGTCACACCTTTCCCGTAAGAATAACAGTGAGCTAAGGACAACTCTGCAGTTGGATCACCTGAAGACGAAAAATTTAGGATAAGTCAAAAAAGTTAAATATAGGAAAGGCCCAGACACACCGAACGCGATTAGACACGCGGCGCGATATCAATCCCCGTTGACTCAGTGGTGGCGCCAGGAATTCCCCGACAAAGGGGGAGCATGAACATGCCTCCGTACCCCCTATAATTGTGATTCACAAATTGTCCCCCCCCCCCTCATCCAAAGTAAAATCCTGGCGGCGGCACTTTGGCCCACTGTCCAGCTAAACAAAATTACGCCCTTGGCAAACTAGGAAACATTGTTGTGGAAACATTTGTGATTCTCGATGTTTCCTCAAATGTTTCCCTGTTTGCCCACCCGTGGAAACATTGTTGCGGAAACAAAATTTGCTTCCCGAGAAGCAAAAATGTTTCCTAGCAAATTCAGAAACATTTGATGTTTCCCTATGTTTCTCACTAATGTTTCCTAGTGTTTGCCCACTCTTGGAAACATTGCGAAACACTGGCAGGAAACAATGTTTCCTAGTTTGCCCAGGGCTTTACCTACCTGTAATAAAGTTTACTCGTAATCCCTAAACGGAAGTTACGATATACTGATAGGAGTAATTTTAACCAATTATGGCCCGTAAGGTTAAGCTCACGTCAGTAAGACAGAGGACAGAGCAAAAATGATTTAATGGCCATATTTATTCAGACTTTTATAAAGTGAAAGGCTTGGTTCGCAATATTTCTGGGTAATCACATCATTTCAAAGCGTCTTCAAAACGAATGAGCTGCGCCTGCGGTCTTATTTCGAGACTGTTTACCGAGTGTACAAATCTTTCCAAAGTTTTGCTTATTAATTACAGAGAGTTTAAGATTTACGACGCGGTAAACTCGACGACGCATCTCAATTTCAGTTCAAGAATAAGCTTTAGAGAGTACTTTGATTACTGTAATAAATGCTTGAAGGTTTTTGAAATAGCGTTACAAACAGGCAAGTTCAAGAGAAACGATGTGATGTTTGCTATAAGGCTGACTTTATGTAACATATCTAGCGTGACTGCGTCGCAATAACCTTTCACACGTTGCTGCATGCAAACACGTGAAATGCTTAGCTTAACGTTGTATTCTGAATGATGACAACAGAGACCTTACGATTTTAGGACGGCAGCGCGACGACGACGGCCAAAACAAACTCCTTCAAATAAATGGTAGTAAAGATAATTCGTCGTATATTATCAATCGTATGAATTTAATACAATCTTAGAAGTTGAAGACATGGGTTTTATGGTTGGGAAGAATTCTGCTGAACCCAGTTTGAAACGTGAAAATCTGTGATTTGGCGTTGTAAACAGAGCGAGGACAATGACTAAATTTTATAAAATAACATGTATATAACGCGTATTCTGATTGGTCGAAAGCCGTGTTTGGATCAGGCCATCCAAACACGGAAGACTACCGTGTTGTTGTTATTTTATAAAACAATTACTTTATGGTTTCCGTGTTTGGATGGACTGATCCGAACACTTGGGAATGTTGCTCGAGTTAAGAAAAGCGGGCAAAATCACTCGCCTTCGGCTCGTGATTTCGCTCGCTTTTCTTAACTCTCGCAACATTCCCGCGTGTTTGGATCAGGCCATCCAAACACGGAAACCATAAAGTAATTGTATAATCCATATATTGTAAGTACTCAATTATTTTCAATGATTTATTGTATTGGTAGCCGTTGCCGTCCTAAATCGTAAGGTCTCTAATGTTGTTGATGATATCCCAAGGAACACAGATAATTGATACTTTTTGTCTTGCATGAAAGATTTCTTTGTTTTGAAGGAGCGTCGTTGACGTGCGGTAAACACTCAAATATTTGTACGGTTGAAATGATTGTCAAGATAATGCGATTGGATATTGCCTGTTCCGTGACAAAGGCTTTAGTTCAATTTCCATCCCATACTCTACGCTGGTACATTTACAGCTTGGCTTGCCCCTTCAGTAACCTTTCTTCCTCCAATTCGTTCAAAGCGACTACAATTTAAAATTTCATCTACAAAATGTCTTACGCTGTGGTGTCAGCGTTACAAATGACCTTGGGTATATTTTTGAATCAACCTCGACGATCTTTGGGCGAGAATTTAAAAGACGGCGACTTGAACTCGCAGCAACTTCGTGGTTTAATTATGAGCAATATGGAAAGCGTCAAAACAAAAATCGATGGTTTAGCTCGTCGCGAATTGCTAAGCAGTGCCAGTTTTATTGAGGAAGGCTTGTTTTTGTTGAATGACTTGCTCGATAAGCCCTGCACCGACGACTTGGATGGGGGGTTACCCACGTTTGGTGATTTTTTTGACTGCGTTGTTCGCTTCAAGAGTTGGATAAGGTAAGCGGATGTCGCCTTTCATAACGCCCATTTACACTTTCGCTGCGATTTCTAGTGCGAATTTGGTCTTCTGATGGATGTGAATGAGTAGACGAGTTACGAGTGTATGGATAGTACATGTAACACTCATCTGAACATTCATAACTTATCCACTCATTCAGTAACTTCACATCCATGAGGAGAAGAAAAAATCGCACTATGGAAATCGCAGCAAGTGTAAACGACGAGGCCTTTAAATATGTGCATGATTAAGAGCTCAGTGGCGAAGCTGGGGAAACTTGACTAGTACTATATATTCTGCATGAGACTTGTACATTGTTATTGTGGGGGTCTGGGGGCACGCTCCTCCGCAAAATTGTGAATATTAGAAGTCTGGA